GGGTCTTTTCCCCCGCCCCTCCCCCCCAAGCCTGTAGCGTTGCAGGGGGTTGTTGTGACCAAAGTGCAGGACCCGGCACTTGGCTTTATTGAACCTCATACAGTTGGCCTCGGCCCATCGGTCCAGCCTGTCCAGATCCCTCTGCAAAGCCTCCCCAGCTGCTCAATTTGGTGTCATCTGCAAACTTACTGAGGGAGCACTCCATCTCCTCCTCCAGGTCATTGATAAAGATGTTAAACAGGACAGGCCCCAAAACCCATCCCTGGGGAACACCACTGGTGACCGGTCACCACCTGGACTTAACTACATTCACCATGACTCTCTGGGCTTGGCCATCCAGCCAGTTTTTTATAGAATCATAAAATCATTAAGGTTGGAAAAGACCTCAAGGATCATCATGATATGAATATTGTTTATTTGGATGGGCATATAAAAAGGTTTTTTAGGGAATATGTATCGCTCTAAGAATATCAGTATTAATTATACTAGTGGCCTTTATGTGTTGTAATATGCATCAGCATCTCTGACCTCTTCGTTCTCACAGGAGGACTCCGTCCTTAGCTAGATCACTGCAACGCAATCCCAGACTTTCCCAGCTTAATTCATATTCTGGACTTTCTCTGTGACCCTTGCCATGCCTTTGTGCTAACTTTGTTTTTCCATGCTGATGAGGATTGTTGGATAGTTTGTTTTCAGAGAGCTCTTCGTCACCTCATGGTTGTTGTGGACATCTTTACACAATCAATGCCTTAAAATGCTGTCTGAACAGTGGTATGAAGTCTAAAGATAGCTTACATTTTGTGTCGTATTCAGCAAGCTTAAAGGTGCGTTCTGCTGCTGTTTGAGTATAATTTCTAATCACCCCTTCCTGGCCTCCAGTAATTTAGAGTTTGGAGGGCTGGCCAGACAGAAGGCTTTTTGCCGGGCAGCTGGAATTGTGCTGACATTTTCCTCCTCCTCTTTTTCAGTGGCGAAAGTGGTGCTGGTAAGACAGAAAGCACTAAGCTGATTCTCAAGTTCTTGTCTGCAATGAGCCAACATTCTCTGGAGCTATCCTGCAGAGAGAAGACCTCCTGTGTGGAGCAAGCTATACTTGAGAGCAGGTACTAGATGTCTTAATACACAGGTATTTTTTCCAGAACACAGAAGCCTTATCATTGAAATAAAAAGATTGAAATATAATTAAAGATGTGGATGCATTTACTGAACAATAAAATGACTATTGGAAAGGGGAAAATTTTCCATTAAAGAAAATTACCTGGCTTCTCTAGAGAGCTGTGAGCACAGTAGGAGATCTTACTGAAGCCAAAAGTTGCATAGTTTTGAAATGGATGATGCTTTATTGGTGGCTTTCATTTTTGTTTCAGATAATTGGAGTAAGGGAAACGGGTGATGGGAGGGAGGCAGAACAAGATACAGCATGGTGAGGATGAAGTGTGCAAGTGGTAAAAGCATGCTGAGAAAAGGGAGGTTAAGGAGAACTGATAAGGTGGATGAGTAAATGCATCAGATACGTTGGACACACTCCATGCAATCAAAAAAATCTCTGTGTTCAAATAAAATAATACATGGTGCTAAACTATTTAAAAACAAAGACAATTTGAGATGCTATTACTTTGGTTTATCATGCTTCATCTCTGTTTTACCTGCTGCATCTTGATGTAATTATTTTTTTTAATTGCCTTAGGACAAGGACTATTTTATAGCAATTTGCATGTGCTGAGATTTCTTATTTCTGTTGTTTGAGTATTGCAATGAGAATTGCATGTATCTTTTGAGCAGTTACAGATTAAGCTGCAGAGTATTTCAGTACGATTAATCTTCCTGCTGTTTGAATACTTGCATCCTTTGATAGAAAATTGAGATGCCTTTTGTTAATAAGTTGAGGGCGATACTAAGGATGAATGCTGTGGCTGAGGAGGGTGTCAGAAGTGAGCTTTTCAGAGTGCTATTCCTTTCACCAGTCCCATGTGAAACTGTTGGCATGCTGGTCGCACATTGATGCTCTTGTTCTTCTGTATTTTCACAGCCCAATTATGGAAGCTTTTGGCAATGCAAAGACTGTTTACAACAACAACTCAAGTCGCTTTGGGAAGTTTATTCAGCTGAACATCTGTCAGAAAGGAAACATTCAGGGAGGAAGAATTATAGATTGTATCCTTGTTTGGTTGATTCTTCCTCCTTTTCTGGGGAGCCCCATGTACCTCCTCTGTGGAGGGCTGAGAGAGAAGTGGCTTGTCCTTGCCGGTCCTTTCACTCCATCCTGAAACATACACAATTAAACTGTGCTGATGTAGGTGGGAAAGGGAAGCACTAACAAAATTCGGTGTGTATTTGTGCACATGCACACACACACATGTGCATTTGTGCTGGGGTGGGATATATTGCTACTGCTAGCATGACTCATGCCTGTTCCTATGTAGTAAGCTAAAACAGATGGAGTTCTTGGGGATAACTTCAGTTGTTGGCTATTTCCCTCATTTATTATATCTGAAGATAAGCTTCTTACTTTTCTGGAAAAGTACTTAAGAGAGCAGAGCTGCTGAATTTATTCAGCATGAGCATGTGTGGCTCAAATCCTTGGATTTGTCCTGTTTTTGGGAAATTGGACTATGAGCCAGCTCCAACAGAGCACCAGAGGTGTGGGGATGAGGAATATACTGAGGGGATCCTATCTAGTGCTTTGGATATAAGCTGCTTTTGCAGGGACAAATTTCCAAAACTCTTTCCAAGATTTAAGGAAAAGAAAAAGAAAGCAGATGTCATTTTAAATCCAGGACATGACAAGTCCAGTTTTGATGGGATGGAGGAGAAGGAGGTGTGGGAACACATTGGTATTAGAACTGCTGCAATTTTGTTGTTGTTACTTTACTGATCTTGTTACGGCAGTAGGCATGTAGTAAGAAAAGACCATAATGCTCTTTCTATTCTCTCAAATGAAAGAAGGAAAATTATAAATAGCTTGTGCATTAATTGCTTTTTACTTTATTCCTTGACTGAAGTTTTTCTTCCTGGCTATAGATTTATTGGAAAAAGTAAGTTGATGTTTGCTTTTGCTCAGTTAATTTTGTTTAATATTTTCTTTGAAACTGTGGGTAAAAAAAATTCTCCTTAAAAATGATTGCCTAAATGGAAACTATTTTTTACTTTGGCAGAATCGTGTAGTAAGACAAAACCCCGGAGAAAGAAATTATCATATATTCTATGCTCTGCTGGCAGGGATAGAAGAAAGAGAGAAAGGTGAGTGGCAAAGCACAAGTCACACGACTCTACTGGCTCTCTGCTAGCAGTCAGCCATGGTGACGGCAGCAGAGAATTTAACTATAGAAACCCACTAACTCAAGCAGAGAAACAGGTTATTTATCCAGCCAGGATTCAGTGAGTGTGAATTTGAGCTCAACTTGATAAAGCAACCTGCTTAGTTGAAGAATGTCACTGAGTCGCTGGTAATTTTTCTCCCAGCTTCTGCTGTGGCCCTGGGAAAATTACTTGGGAACAAACATGCCTCATTCTGTTCAAGCTGAATATTTTTGCTGGTACTAAATAACTCCACAGCAACAAAGAGAAATAATTCTAGTTCCTCTAATCCTCTCTCATAAAGAATAAATCCACTGAACAAAAGAAATGACATTTGTATATGTGCAAAATTGCCTAAAGCTGTCTTGGCATCTCCCTTTGGGCCTGCTGGCTTTGCATGCTAAAAAGTAGAGTTAACTCCATTGTGCACCTAAATAAGACAAAAACCAACAAAATAAAACCCTGTATCTGATATTAATATAAAGCTTTGTTTTGTACGTCATCATAATTTCTGAGAAAATGAATTGTGAACTATTTAACTCTAACATAGTAATTTGTGGAGTGCTTTTGTTTTGGGATTTTTTTTTTTTTCACTTGTCCTCTTTTGTCTCCTCATTAGATGCTTTTTACTTATCTGAACCAGAGAACTACCACTACCTGAATCAGTCTGGATGTATAGCGGATAAGACAATCAGTGATAAAGATTCTTTCAAGGAAGTCATTGTGAGTTGTTTCCCTTTTCCTTATGCTTTAAAAATGCTGGAGGTGTAGGTGCCTGGGGCCCAAAGCCTTCTTGTGCTTACCTGCACATGCAGCTCTCTCATTGAGACACTAATCTTATGGGGACTTATATTTTCTCATAACACTTCGCTGTAATTTTGAGCATGTCTTTACCTTCCCTCCAATATTTAATTTTTACTCTTATAATTTCAAAGTATGCTATAATTTTAGTGATATTATTACATTTTGGAATGAAAATAATCAGTTGGGAAGACAGTAAGGCATTTATATGCCTTTGCCCTTCCCTGCATTGTTTTATATTACAGGTATGTCTGCTTCCACTGTTTTTCCATCCTAAAGCTTTGCCCAGATCATGTAGCATCTTCAGGGTCGAGTCCGCAGTGCCACGTGTGGGGGGTGAAGCACCTGGGCTTTTGCAGCTCAGGAAATCCAGTTGTATGGGGTAACTTACACAGTAGAGTTGAAGAAAATGTAAACACAGATTAGAAATCAGGTCCTGATGCAGTCTTTGTCTGAATGGCTCTGTGATGTCTTATACCTACGCCAATTAGCTACAGCAATTAGTTTCTACTGACTGTTAGGATAATTGATAGTTACTTTTTATATCACTGAGGTGATAGGTGTTAGGTTTTAAAAATCAGTATAAATAATAGTTTTTATGCCCTTCACCAAACCATTTTCGCTTAACTGTGTTAATCTCTTTGCCAAATTGACGAATTAGTGTGTACTGGATGCAGCAATCATTTTTAGTGTAAAACATCCTCATCTTCTATGGTGGGGGCAGGGGTGTGTTAGAAAAGTTGGTGACTTATGTACATTATAGTCACATGGTTTAAGCTGGTTAGCATGACATTTAATTTGTGCTAATCATCCCAGGGTAGGCAGAGCATGAAATTAGCTGGGCAGGTGGTGCTTGCATGCTGCCTGCAGTGTGGGCACCCTTGGAGCAGTGGCTGAGTCTGCCAGGCTGCGTTCCCAGAGGGGGAGGCAGACAGAAACCCCACAGTTCGCCCTCGCCTGTCTTTTCCTATTATAGTCATCAAATAAAATAGCGGTTTAAGTCCCAGAAATGTTACTCAAGTAAAACTTTTTTGTAGCAGATGGGGAGGGACTACACGGTGAGCGTGGAGATGAACTCCTAGTGCTGCCACCCTTCCTTAGAGCTCTGTGTTGTGAAAGGTCTTCTAACAAAATAAACCTTCAACCTTTATCTCTTCTCTGCTTTTAATTGTGGATTGAGTCTGAGGATTTTCCATTTGTAACTGGTGATTTCTGAAAGATAACTGTGTTATGTGTCATCTGTCAGACACCTGCAGTGACCATAACATGATGAGTCTCACTGTAAGGGTATAAAACTGTGATCTGGTCTCAGACAGGCTCGTATTAGACCCAAATTTGGGAAACTGGTAATTTTGAGAGGCACACAATTACTTACCCGTGTACATCAGAGAAAAGCATATGTTCCTCTTCATGTTTCAATATTTCTTCAGCTAGGGATTTGCTGTTCTCCTCATTTATGTAGTTGAGTCTTGATCATTGCCATATTGGTTATTCACGAATTCAACACATTTTACGTAGATCTTTTTTTCTTGCTCAGTTTTGCTGTAAATTGTCAGACCACACTGGTAACATGGTTTGAGCTTCTTGGCTTGCCCAGAATATGCTGCAGTAGGGCTCCTTTGAATTCCCCTTGGCTGGGGAAACAAATGAGCAAATCTTCCATATTGCTGCATTTCCTCCTCAGTGCCCTGTTGGCTAATTGCCAAAATTTGGTGAAAACACGGACATTATCAGTTACTAATGCAAGTTAGTGAAATTGTATCTGATGCACAACTCAGTAGGGCATTTCAATGTTTATACAGAAGAATTTGAAAATTACAGGATTCTTGCAGCATCAAAAGGAGATTTCTTAAAACTAGAGTGATACTTGCACGTTCCAAGTTCTCTCCTTGATATCTTAGTGTATTTGATTTGGGATTAAACTAAAGGGATGAAACTAGCTTTTCTAAGGCCTGACAACACGGTGGGTTTGTCGTTGTCCCCATTTTTGAGTCAGTGTGCATGTTACTGAAGAAGGTCATGTGTCGTTCCAGACTGCAATGGAAGTGATGCAGTTCAGCAAGGAGGAGGTGCGAGAAGTTTTGAGGCTGTTGTCTGGCATTTTGCATCTCGGAAACGTTGAGTTCATCACTGCTGGTGGGGCACAGGTGTCCTTTAAAACAGGTGAGAAGGCTCTGCATCCTCGTAGTATGTAAATGTTTCTTGAGGTTGTGAAAGTTACATCCGTTGTTAGTATGTCTGACCATAGCAAGGACAAACAGTGAAAAGTCTTACTGCTTTTTAGCATCTGTAAATGTTGATTATTTTTGGTTTCTTTGCCAGATAAGGCAAATTACTCTGCTGCTGGGTCCTAGGTCTTAATTAGGAAAGACCTTGGTCACTTATTTATTCCATTAATAATGGTGAGATTCCATTTTAACCTAATTCCTGCTTTGAAATATTCTCAAGTGGATAAAACATAAGTGCTCAATTACATTCCTTAACTGAAGCTGTCTTTTGTTAGAGCTTTCATACTGCAATTACAAATGTGAAATGACATGCTGGTATGTCTAAAGATTAGGCTTTCAAGTATTTTAAATGTTTGTTCAAATATGGCAATGAAGAGTAGCTTTGTTTACTGCTTTATATACCACATTACAGCAGAATTGAAAACTAAAATATGCATGTAAGAAAAAAAACCTTTATTGCTTTTCTTTATCCTCAACATCCCAAGAGAAGCTGAAATGCATTCATGTGAACAAAGAGTGACTTACTGTTTATATCTGGAAAAAGTGTAAGCAGTAGACTGTTTGTATCCTTGACATGTAACATGAAGAGGAAATAAATATTTGTGACTTGTGATGAATTTCTACCCCTAAATTCCTTCAGTTGTGCCTTTTCATGAGCAGCAAAGATACATCCTAGAGTTTCTAGTTGTGTTTTTATCTCTATTCCACATCGTTTTAGAAGCATCTTAAATGGTGGTGGTAATGATAACAATAATACAGATTAGTTGCATAACCTTATACGTTTAAGGACGTATTTGTATTTGTCTCTTTCTTTTGCCAGCTTTGGGTAGATCTGCTGAACTACTGGGGTTGGACTCCACACAGCTAACTGAAGCATTGACACAGAGGTCAATGATACTCAGGGGAGAAGAAATCCTAACACCTCTTAGTATACAACAGGTAAGGGCATCTCGTGTTTTTAGGGTCTATTAAATATATGGCTCTGTCTTCAAGTCCAGGGAAATCATTGGTCACTCAGGAACAGAAGCTTAGCTCATGCATCAGAGTTTTTGTCAAAGTTTTTTGGGAAGGCTATAATTGGACTTTTAGAAATCTCTATAGTTCCCATCCTATCATTCTGGACAGGGCTTGTAGCTTGGCTCTTGTTATTCTTACTAACCCTGATTGCTTACCATTTTTTTTTTTCAAATTCTACTTGTGTAGGCTGATATTTTTTATTATGGACATCTGTGTCAGGTGGGCGCGTTTTTGAAAACTTTCATCAGAAATCATTTTATTTACAAGAAAGGGATTAGAAATAGTTACACATAACATCATGCTTACCTCTAGAAAGGGGTAAATTAAGCTGTTATTTCCTGCCCTTCGCTTTTCTTCCTCCACACTTTATAATTTCTTTAACTTTTGAATGCTTTAGCCTTGAAATGTAATTTTAAAGCCATATAATTGTACAGCTGTTGTAACTTAGACTGTGATGCCCTGTAACTGTTGACACAGTTGCTGTCAAGGTACATAGGAATGTAAAGCTGCTTGCATTATACCTTGCTTATGCTGTGCAAAGGACACTGACTGGCAGAGTCTGGCAAGTTCTCATTTCCAGGGGAGATTGATGCGTGGTGTGTTCCTTTAATGCAGGCAATAGACAGCAGAGATTCTATGGCTATGGCACTTTATTCTCAGTGTTTTGCTTGGGTTATTAAGAAAATCAACAGCAGAATCAGAAGCAAGGAAGACTTCAAGTCCATTGGAATTTTGGACATATTTGGATTTGAAAACTTTGAGGTAGGTTTCAGAAGTTTGTTCAGATGGGTGATCTGATATTTCTGCTTCATTGTTCTACATATATTTGTCATTTTCACTGGAACTTGATCATTAAATGTGTTATGACTTAAAGCATTTCCTTGTTTGCAAAGTAAAATACTTGGAGTGCATGCATTTTTGAAAATTTCTTGTCTCTCTAGGTAAACCGTTTTGAGCAGTTCAATATTAACTATGCAAATGAAAAGCTTCAGGAATATTTCAACAAGCACATCTTTTCCTTGGAGCAACTGGAATATAGCAGGTAAGAGATACAGATGAAATTTGAAAGAATTTTGGAAAGTTCGGTATTCACTTGAAATCTGGTTTCCCAGCTACCTTAGCTTCCTTTGAAAATCTCTCAGTCTGGCACTGTGTATTTTTATTTTTTAAAACAAGCTAGATGATTTTTCTATAATTTGCAAGATAAATACATTAGCTCGTCCTATTTCTATATTTAAAATAATTTCTTCAGAGTTGTCAGTAAAAAGACCCTCCTTATTTTCCTTAGGGAAGGACTAGTTTGGGAGGATATTGACTGGACAGACAATGGAGAGTGCTTGGATCTTATTGAAAAGGTAATACAGAATTTGATACCATTACCTATTTCTAGATTTTGTTCTCAGGTAATATGTCTTTAAAACAGACGCTAACACAAAGAACAAGTGAAAAGAATGATGGTTCTTTCATGTTTAAATAGCAATCTTTTAATCAGGTCATGTGCATTCCTGGATATATTATAGATTATATTGTAAGCTCATAATATGTATCTTTCCTTGTAGTAACTTTTAACAGTGTATGATTGTATACAAAAGCAATATTTGGAGATGATTAGAAGAGTATAAAATGGGAGCAGAAAGAATGAGAGCATCTTGCTCCCATGTTGGCTTTTCGTGGGATGTGGGTTATCTTCATTTGTTGCCTGCTAATTTTGGCTTCATCCATAATTGTGTTTGTGTTCTGATTTGTACTAAAGGAACATGTGAAAGAGCATGAAGTTGGCAAAGTTACTGTTAGGAACATTAGCAGTGAGGGGCAGATGAGGTCTGAGTTCACTGCATAGAAATTATAACTCCAGCTGGATGACAAATCTGAAGTTATATATAATTTCATCCGCGTTCACTTCTGCCAGCAGTACAAGCCAACTGCAGGAGTTTATCTCCATAGCAGAGTTGTGTGGCTGCATGAGTTTAAAACGGCCACAGAAACTGATGGCAGCAGGCATGGGATCCAGCTGCCAGGACGTGACTGCAGTCAGGACAGTGTGGTTTGTCAGGAGCTGCTCTGGGACGATGGAAAGTGGCTTATTAAAATGTGCACCTGGAGAACCATGTTTTTCTGAGAGGATGTATCAACCTTGAAGCTTGCTGGACACACTCATTAACTGCAGGGTAGCTTACTTTGTTTGCCACATCTTCTAGTATGAGAAGTAGGGAACATCAAAGGAAATTACACAGAGGCATATGCAAAGCAAAGGGAGGTTTTGTTTCATGCCATGTGTAGTTAATCTGTGTATCTTTTGCTGTGCCCCTGGGCACCATAGGTGCTAGAAGTTTGCATTGGTTCAACAAGTAAGTAGATAATTTTATGGAAGAAAAATTTTTGAAAGACTGCACAAATGCCTCAGACTTAAGGAACTGCTGGTCATTGGAGATCTTTGAAGCTGGGGATATATTCTGAGGCAACGTCATTGTATGCACCTAAAAACTACCTACATCAGGAGAACTGTTACTGCTTCCAGTATCTTCTTTTTCTTTATTTTGCCTGTGTATCATTTGCTGTATGTTTCAAAAGGAGTGTTGCCAGAAAAATAACATTGCAGTCCTCTATGAAGATGGGTTTTTAGTCCTGTATGGGTGGTTTTGTTCATCTCTGCAGACAATAAGTTCAACAACGTTGTGATTTTTCCACATTAGGGACAAGCTCTGTGTCCATCAGTGCACTAACTCATCTTCTGCCTCTTGCTGTTCTAGAAACTGGGCCTGCTAGCGCTCATCAATGAAGAGAGCCATTTTCCTCAAGCTACAGACTCCACCTTACTAGAGAAGTTGAATACCCAGCACGCTGTATGTGATATTGTGCTTGTGTATTCTGTGCAAATGATGGAGAGTCTCTTTGCTTCTGTATAAACTCATGGTTCAAACATATGGGTGTATAGTTGTAGAGTATGCTTTGGACATGATCCTACTTCCATAGCAATCCATATAATTTGCTTTCAAGACTGAGTCCATTACCTGAAAGAGCATATCCTTGTTACTGTCCAGTTAAAGATTTCCATACTGGTAAATAAGCCAAATTCTGCTCTTAGAGCTCTGACGATGTGCAGTAACTCAGATTACTAAGATCTTCAATTTCCCTTGATTTAATGGAGTATTCACCTTGATGTAATTCACTGAAAGGTTGCTGTTTCCTCTGTCCAGATTAGTGTTACCTTTCTTTGTGATCCTAGAATTATTTTAGAGTATTTCTGTGATACAAGTGTGTCCACCAGTCTTCGTAACTGCCAGTTTAAGACAGAGCCTTCCTTTTCAAAGTGTCTTTAATAGATGGTTCTGCCAGATGGGTTCAGGTTTAGTATAATGCCTTTTTAGATACTATAAATCTGTTAATATTGCATTTGAAGCAGCCCAGACTAACAAATCCTATTATCGTTAGAAGTTGGTTGTTTGCTTTTGGAGCACTAATCTTCCAGGGAGTTTGCTGGAAGACAATGGTTTGTTTAGGTCTGGGTTGGGAGGATAATATCCTTTGTATCATTCTACTCTCTGACCCCCTCCCAAATATTTTTCTATTTTCTCTCTCTTCCAATTAGAACAATCCTTTTTATGTAAAACCAAGAGTTGCCGTTCACAACTTTGGAGTGAAGCACTACGCTGGGGAGGTAATTTTATTTTCTTTATTTGTTGAAATTATTCCAGAGTTTTCATTAGCTTAATTTTATCCTGAGGCTGCTCAAAATCAACTAAAGCACTCTGTTCCTGCAGTGGTTTTTACAGTACCGCTGTTGTGAGAGGTGCCTGACTGCTTGGCTTGTTGTTTGAATCAGCTCTGTTTCCTGATAGGTCCAGTATGATGTTAGGGGGATCTTGGAGAAGAACAGAGATACTTTCAGAGATGATCTCCTGAACTTATTACGTGAAAGCAGGTATGTTTCTTCAATTTTTGTTTAGAACATGGTGTTAAGGGGTGTCATTATCACCTAATTGTGCCAGGGTTTGAATATATTAGATATTGTATAGCGTCAGACCTTGACAGAGTTGAAAGGAGTGTAGAAGTATCAGAGGTGCCTGTAAGCAGATCTGACTGTAATTGGTTCTCACTAGGTCAGGTTTTCCCACACGGTACAGTACCTTGTCCCCGTTCAGTCCAGAGAATTCCTAGAGAACTTGCTTGCTACTTCAGGATGCTGAAAGCTGGTGATGTTTATAACAGTTTCAGAGTGCCTCACAGACAACCTGCATGTGTGGTTTTTTGCTTCACATACAGCCTGATTTGTTTGTATTTCTGGCACTCCCTAATTTGGTTGAAAGCTTAGTGTCGGGGACCTACCACAGTGCAAATTGCCATATAGTAATTGCTTCAAAGGGAGATTTTCTATAAAGATCTGTGTTACCGAAAGTCTGAGCTTGGATGTCTTTGGTTCCTGCGTGTCTCCTGTCATTCTGCTGTGTAAGGTCTTAGGATCCTCACAGTGGTACCCTGTGAGCCAGAGCGGTACCATGTCCCTTCTTGTAGGCATATGGTTGAGACTCCAAGACATATAGAGAGGTGACAAAGAAGGAGAGGAGCTGAGCCCTCACCCATCCTGTCCAGTCATCCTGCCTTGCTGAGGGCTTTGCTTGTTTGTAAATCCCTTAAGCCCATCTGTGCAGGGGAAACTGTTAATAAGCTTTTCCCTCTCTATGTTGTTTTTTCTGGTTTCATGACATATATGAAATCTGTCAATTGAGGTATGTAGGTAAAAGTAATAAATCAGTTAAAGCTGCTGGGCCTGGTTTTGCGCTTGCACCAACATCACTCTGGAGCTTCAGCTAAAAGGTGTGTGTTTCTGTCGAAGTGGTAAAATGAGGATACCCAACTGAGAGAGCAGAAAACAGCATACACAGCTGTTATCTGAAAGTGAGGCTCATGTGGGTGGTTATTTTGTGTTATGGCCCCAAACAAGCTGGGAGTCTTGTTTTTTACAGTCTTTGTTCATGTACAGTTCCCATTACAGTCAGCTGGAGTTTTGGTTGAGTGAGTGGAGTAAAATACAGTAAGGACTCTAGGACTTCACGCTGTGTTTCCCTAATGATTTTTTTGGAGTGGAGAAGAAAGAACTTCCTTGTTTTGCTTTGCTTTGTTTTTGTTTTGGTTTTTTTGTTTTTTCTTCCCCTGCATAAATTCTGCAAAGGCAAAATCTGTTGCTTATTAAAGATTACGGAGAAAATCAATGAGCATTTATTGGATGAAGGAGATGCTTTCTAAAGGGACAGTGTTTTCTTTGCATTCTGTAATGGTAAACTTCATAGTCTGTTAAGATATACTTCAGAGATGTTCTTTTTCTTTCTCGTTTCAGTCTTGATTTCATCTATGATCTATTTGAACATGTTTCAAGTCGCAACAATCAAGACACCCTTAAATGTGGAAGCAAGCACCGAAAACCCACTGTCAGTCTCCAGTTCAAGGTTAGTTAATGTGTCCTTTCTGCTCTGTAGCTAATCAGTGATAAATAAACTCTTCAGTAAAGAACAGCTGCAGAACAGGCAAAACAGGCAAAACTTCACCATCAAAACATTGCTCTCTTCTATGAAGCTGCACTTACGAATCAACTGGTTGGCCATGCTAGGTAGCTTCAAGCATTACACCATCTACACAAAACTCCTGTTGCTCTCCACTTGCTTATTTGTCCTTATTTTAAAGTTGGTCCCTCTTGTCCTGGTTTTTCTTTCTAATCTAAAACTAACCACAAAATCACACAAAGCCTTACGGCAGTGTCTGTATGCTAAGAAAAATAAGTACTGAATAAATACTTCATTAAGGTGTTGCCTGGTTTTTGGAAAGCTTTTTTATTAAACACCTTTTATGAGGCTTTATAGCCCTCCCATCAAAAATGGCACCAAATTGAAATCTAGCATTAAGTCTATCTAAAAATTATTTAAAAGAGAAAGATTGGCACAAAACTTTTTCTAAATTGCATGAGTACAAGTCTGGATTAGTTGTCTTTCATTTTGTTTGAATTAATATACATTTGCAGTGTTCATTCACTTCTTTTTTTTTTTTTTTTAAAAGGGAGCAGACTCAAACCCCTTGAGGGCAGATTTTATCCTGATAGACTAAGTGTTGGACAGAACAGCAAGGAGTGTATCCTGGCACACACACAGTGTCCTTTGTTAAAAAGCACTAATGTTGTATTCTCTGGACAGCTTGCTTTGTGCTACCATAGCTTGTCTGAGACAACAGCACTTCTTGTGGTGAGGTGATCTTTTGCTAGCTGTCTGGGATAGCAGAAGGTACTGTTTCCACTTAGTCATTTGTACCTGTGCAAAGTAGACCTTAAAAATGTTAGTGTATAAAAATTGACAATGTTTTTCTGCCAACTTTGCAAGGTAGAACATAATGTAGAGTTCCTTCTCCTCTCCATCAAGGCCTCTGGACAACATAAAGCACAATAAAACATGACATCAAAACATTGTTGCCTCTTACCTGAAGCTGCAGTAACTGGCTGTTAACCAGCTGGACTGCTTTATGAGAGGTTGAACTTCACGTTGTGCCATCCCCAAAGAATTAGGTTCAGTGTTTTTTCCATCTTTGAAAGCACTCCAGGGATTAGTCCCATCTCATTTCAACTGCAGATAAGAACTTTGCCTTCACAACTTTATTCTCATGATAGGTTGGTTAACTCTTCTTCTCATTTGACAGCCTGCCTAATTCAGGCCTGGGGCTGCATGCAGAATAGCTGAGGTTAGATACCATCTGTTTCAGCCTATTGCTTAAAGCAGGGCACGCTTCAGATTAGTTCGTCACCTGACAGTGACTTAGAGGCAGCTCTGTGCAGAATCTGGCTGTCTGTACCCCAGATGAATGTGAAAATAGGTTAAGTCATTTTTGGTTAGACTGACCAACTTTTCCAATCCCTGTAAGAAGTAGCCTGCGTTGAGGGAATTGTCTTAGTTGTCCATAGATGTTGTAATGTTCACACAGGTTTAATAAAGATGAAGCCTTTACTTTTGAAGCTGTAAATATTTATCTTTACACAAAAATATTTGTCTTTGTATCTTCTGGCTGTTTTAACATTTGTTGCCTCTACTACTTGTCTGTAAGCTGGCAAAGGCAAACAAACCAAGAACTACTATTTATGCTCCCGGTCACTTTCCTGTGCACAGCCACAGCTCTGCCTTGCCTTTATCACTTCATGTTTAATAATCACAAAAGCCCTTGGTTTGCAGATTAAAGCAAGAATTTGCTGTAACAGACTGCTATTGGCAGTTTTGCTCCAAAACATATGGTAAGACACACACTGTTGCTCCTTTAAAAAGTGAATTTTCTGTCTCCTTGGCAGCCTGCTCTGTATTCTCTCTGCTGCCTGGCACGTAGTGCCGCCTTTGAGGGGTGAAACATTATCATAGCTAACTTTCTGGGCTCTTCAGAGCCTGGGCTCCCCTCCTATACAGTCCTCTGCAAAGTGAATGCAAGACTTCAGTTCAAAGTGGTTTATCATACTTAATGATACAGAGTGAGGCAAGTTGGAATAAGATACGGAATGATGGCTCAGGCAGGAAAGGGGCGGATGTGTAATTAAAGTAATAATCATAAAAAGAACTGAGGGATTTTTGTGATTTTTATCTCCAGGCTGAGGTTCAGACAACCCATAGTCTAATGTATATTGGGTCATTCAGAGTTCTAAGACTAGGAAAAAAACTATGTCGTCTTCTATGTGTTTTTTTAGATGAACCTTATCATCTCTCTTTTTATTGTTAAATGCAATTAGCTATCACATGAAATAACAGTGAAACTGTCTGCTTATTGCTGTCAGCATTGTCTTTCAGTAAGATACGTTTTCTTTGCCACTATCCTTTACTCAATTTTTGTTAATTTCAAGAGGATATTTTAAAATCTAGTATTGATAAAACAATGTCTACTGTATTCTAAAGTAACTCTTTTTTCTGAAATCTTTTGTATTTTTTCTACCCTCTTGTTGACTTATATTTATTATCAAAGTGTCCTTTTAGCAAGAAAGGTTGAGACCATGCAAGAGAGAGGAACTCCTTGTACACAAAATGCTGCTGATGGCAGGGAAAATGGAAAATGAGTGGGTATGGCATGGTTGAAATGTAAAGAGGAAATCTGGTTTTGTGGCACTTCAGTTTTACCTTAGACCCCTTATTCTTCCTTTTAACTTGCTCGGGTCTAGCAATTTGGGAATGTGGATCCTAAGTTTTAAGCAGTCATTCAGAAGATCCCTGAAACAGCACTTTCCAATTTGGTGTTTCCTTATGAACAGTTTTCTTCATATCAATGTGTGCATCTTGCTCACTGTAAAACAGCAATTATAGTTTTGATCAGAAGGGCCATCGGAAGATACGGATGTGCACGTATTGATTCTGTATGTTCACAAGCAAGACCTTACATGGTACAGTAATTTCTGGTGTATACCACTAGGTGTTGCAGTTAGATATTGTCTGCAATGCTGAGCTGCAAGAGCTTTTGCTGGGTTATGTTGCTTGAACAAAAACTCAGCTTGTGAAGTGCTGTCTTCTTTCTACCTGTGTTTCAGGAATCGCTTCATTCTTTAATGGCAACGCTGAGTTCTTCAAATCCTTTCTTTGTTCGGTGCATCAAACCCAACGTGCAGAAGGTAAGATTCAGAATTGCTCCCATCTTTTCTGTACATCTTTGGCTCAATCTTTCACTGCCTGTCTGATTCTTTACGGCTGTGTGAAGCAGAGGGTAGCATTCTTCAGTGACTTTGTAAAAGGCTCTGCAAGGAGAAGGGACTGGGAAAGGCTTTTGATCTTTTTGCATATGGGCCGTGCCTTTGGGCACCTTTTTAATAGTTGTTGCTCATAACTCTGATAAATGACTGGCTCAAAGAATGGTTATAAAAGGAAAGTTGAAGGCTGCACTGCACATTTCACAAGTCTGTGAGAGCCTTTTTAGGAAGAAAATGTCAAAACTGCAAAGTTTATTTTAACTTACTGGAGGCAGTGAATGGTGGTGCATATAGAAAAATGGTGTGAATGACCAATTCTGTCATCAGACTCTTAGTCGTTTAATTTATGTACAGTCCTGGGTGTCTTCATGCTGGCTGTTTTATTCTGTTACAGAATTATGTTTTTAAAACAGACTTGGAAACTAAGGCTTACTGTATCAATTTGTCTTTTGAGTCACAGATCATGAAATGCAATGTCAAGACTTATTTAGATATGTTGGACAGCTCTCTAGAAACGAAGCGGTAATGGTATAGTAATCGCTGGAGTTAATATTGTTAGCATGGTCCTGATATTCTGGGGTTTTGCACATCTGTTTTTAGCTTTATAGACTGTTACTCAGGTATGATCTGCTTATGTCAAAAATGCAACAGGCAGAGGTGCTAATGAAATCCGGCTTATGGTTTTCACATGGCAACTTAGAAATAGGTGACTTTGCTATAAACCCAGTTTTACATGTTACATTTTTCAGGGATATCTGGTTAATGAGGACACTAACACATCAAACCTGGCAGATTTCATTGCAGATTTTTCTGTTACCTGGATGGTACATCCTTGACTTTACATGTTTTCAGTTGCTAACTGTTTACTCTGCTTTTGCACTGTTACTCGTGGTGTGTCAAATAACACACATATATTTTACTATCATTAAAACAAAGTTCTCACAGAATTAGCAGCTGTGCAAGCAGAAGGAGCTTGAGACAGCCTCAGTCTCAGGAAACCACATCTAATTGCAGAAGTACATGCAGGAACAGACTGGGAAATTCCTGTAGACAATCCCTTTCAATGTACATATAAAATGTAACTGAAATCTTACACAAAAATATTTGTCTTTGTTTTCCATTTGCTTTAATTTAATTACAAATTTAACTTGATTCAATGGCTTTACCAACTAAGAAATCCTGTTTGAAGAACAAGAGAAGAGAAGAGAAGAGGGTCACACAGTTTACCTGTTGTAGCTTATTCAGTAGAAGACTTAGAAAATGGCAAGGAAAACCATATATAATACTTGTCAGTGGCCTTCTTCACTCAGGGAAGTGTTCTCAAAATGCATTTTGGGATTCACTGTTTTAAGTTTTGTCCACTGTGCACTGCTCACTGTTTCCCCCATGTCTCATAGGCACAGTGATTTTTAAATCCAGTCTTGCGATGTTGGTGTTGCTTCTTCTGCAATGGTGCAGCTACAGACCCAGGCACTCTAACAGCATTTGGCTCCTCTGCAGGTCAGCTGGATTCTGTGGATGGACACCATGTTAAACATGTTATAGTTTATCCTGTCATACAACTTGTTGCTCCTTTTCAGTTAGACAAAGGAAAATAAGGTGGGTCAGTTTGCATAGCTCTGAACCAGCGTGGCTCAGAGCCACGTTAGCTGTGCACGGAATACCAGGGATTACCGCGTACGTGACTCACTGTGCGGGGCTGGTTAGAAACATAACTGCTTGAAACATTCAGATAAGCTGCTGAAACAGAGAAACTGGGATTGAAAGAAAGTAAAAATCATCACTGAGCATTTTCCTCTGTGTTTTCCATCCATAGTTTTTACTCTGCAGTGGTGGTGATACTGAATGATAAAATGTCACTTCAAAAAGTGCTTAAACAGTGCTTGCCAAATAACAATTGATGTGAAAGAAAGGGGTGTTATAATTGTTTTTTTGAAATATACAGCATGAAAGGACAGCTGGACCAGAGAGACTGGGCAAGGAGAGGGCAGAAGTTGTGTAAGCAGTAGCAAAGCCTCTCAAGCTACTCGTTGCTCTCTGGGTTGGGTACAAATAGGTGACACACCTGTCCACGAGCATTCTCTGTAACTGGGAGGAAGGAGGTGGTGATGCCCGAGAGCTGTTTTACTCTGGAAGTATGTTTGAATTCTGTAGGTGAATGAGGTTGAGCAGATAGAAGACAAATCTAAGCCGTTGAAAAGCAGAATGTGCAGCAGACAGTACCTCCTCTGCTCTTCTAGACATGAAAGTGTATTCATGTTGGATAAGAGATGTGATAATTTACAGTAATTATTTGATTTTTTTAATTGATGAAATGTTTAATTTTTAAATATGTTACAGTGGCAAGCAAAACCAACTCAGCATATGAAGTAAACCACTGAAAATTTACATATCAAAGCAGGATTTACACTCATTAGAGCAATTTCCTACCGGGATCACACAGAGTACATGACCTTTTGTCACAAGACATTTCAGCGAGGAGGTCTCAAACAGAGGAACAGAGAACCCATTAATCTTTGGGAGACCCTTGAACAATCAGTGTATCTGTTTTCACAGTTTCCAGTCTGTTCTGAACTAGCCATAATGTGGAAACTTTTCCACTTGGTATGCTTAATGAGTAGTTTCTGCTAATGAAGGGTCTTTCTCCTCAACTCTGCTATCCTCAATGCAGCTTGCAGAACTACGTATCATTACATCCTTTTGAACTTTGACACATCTTTCTCTGTTTTTTGGTCTCATGTTTCTTTTCCTGCCTCCTGTCCTATTTGATAATGATTCCTCTGTGCAACCTTGCCTTTTCTGGTCTCCATCTATCCTTTTTTGTGCACCTTATATTAATAAAAACAACAACCACCATGCAACACCACCAACACCACCACACACAAAAAAAAACCCCAAACAACAAAAAACCAAACCAAAGCAAAAAAGACTGTCCTTTTAAAACAAGCTACAACCATTGCTATGGCCATCAGCTGGTTGTTTCTTCCAGCTTGCTGCTATTAATAAAGTTGTTAAGCCTTGGTGCTGCTCAGGAGACAGTTGCAGATAAATTTAATATCTGAACTTCCTATGCAAGATGTTTCAGAGGGAGAAATTTTCTTGTTGGCTAGAAGGAGCCAGCCTCAGACAGATTGGCTCAAGTGCTTTCTCAAGTTCCCTTCTCCATTTAGGATTTTTCTTCAGAAAACAGATTGGCATAATCATTGCAGGTGGCCCCCACCTTCTGCATCCGCATGGCCTCATCTGTGCTGCTCTCTTAAAATCTTTATTATTGCAGCTTGCTTCTGTAATTCCCTGTTTTTGAGACTTCAGCAGGTTCAGACGCAGCTGTTCTCTCACGCATGTATATAGGCGCATCCACTGCTCTTTGATTACAGATCTAAGTCTGGTTGGGTCCTCGTGGGCAAAGTCCTGGCTTCATGAGAGTGGGCATGAAGTATTTGATGTAGACAAGAATTTCAGTTTGGTGGTTTTGGTTTTTTTTTTTTTTTTTGTTAGGAAGCCTGTGTTGGCGTGTGCCACCTTGAACAGGATTGCAGGGTCTCTACTCACCTCCCTCTCTGCTCATTTATTGTCTGTCTCATTCCTCTGTTTCAGTGATGGTCTTGCCACTGGCAAGCCACCTACTCTGAAGCTTCTGAGCTCTGAAACTGCAATTCTGTTTCTCTGCACTTTTTATATTAATTTTTTTTAATCTTAAAATGTAATTAGGTAAGGTAAAGCAATGAGACAAAATTAAACATGTATTGTAAACCTACTGCAGGGTAGGGGGTTACCGGGAGCAAAAGAAAAAGTGAAACTAGTAATAACTGTGCAATTCAAAGGAGGACTGGTAGAAAAAGGTCTGTAATAAATTCTGTGAGGCTTGCTGCTGCTTAGGAGTCCTATCGTGCTGCATATTCATTCTGGGAAAATTACTATCAAGGCAATAAGATTGTTAACAATGCTTCTGGAGACAGAGCCAGTTAAAGGGACCAAGGAATGGCTATTGGCGCCTGCAGTGTACTTTGAGGCACAGGTCATGAATAGCCATGAGGACACCCTGGAATAGCAAGCAGTATGTCCCTTAATACAAAATAAGATGCAAACCTATTTCTCTGGGTGTCTGAATTAAACTTGTGCTCTTACAATAGCTCTGAATCATTACAAAGGTAAGTACAGCATGATACCAACCTGAACATCAGCCAGAAGTACCACGCAGGAACGTGGTGCAAAGCAACGAGAGGACAGCTGGGCCCCACCTGAGAGGATGATTGTGTGCAGGGTGTGGAGCAGACACAAGTTCAGTGAATGCAGCATGTGAACTGGTTGTCAAGCTGGAATTGCACTATTTTGATATTGAGCTTTGACTGTATGAATTACTGAGTTTGCCATGTAGAGAGATTTTTTGCAGAAATACGGATGACAGTGCAAGTCTTAACGTCGCTGCATGGATAACAGTATTGACATAAAACCTTGAAAAATGCAGGGAGGGAGACTCTGAGCTTCAAGGATATTCTGCTATACCTTCAGCACAGGATTGCTAAGCATCAGGATAAAACTTGACTTTTAAAAGTCTTTATTTTTAAAAAATTATCCTTAATAAAGTGGTCCAGCTTCAAGTTTCTATGTGCATCCTAATGCAGTTGTATCCACAACTTCTACTTTATACTTTGCTTTCTACAGCAACGTCAGTCACTCAGCAGACTCAGGAGTTAAAAGCTAAAAAGAGTAAGGCCCTAAATGGAGGCATCTTTATGGTTTCCTCATTTAGTTCCAGAGCCCTGGGGTAGCCCTTCTGTAGTGAAGCTACAATATTCTCTGGTGCTGGGATGTAGCAGATCACAGGGTAAATTTGACTGGCTATTCGTAAGAAAAAGCTCAGTTATCACGTTAATAGCTACTGTCATACTTCAGAAGTAAAGGGAATAGATTATATGGCCCAG